GGTCCATAGGAAGAAGACGAAACTCCTGGCTAAAGAATCTACGGGAATGGTATAGTTGTAGCAACAACGAATTGTTTCGGTCAGCAGTTTCGAAAATACGTATAGCCCTGATGATCGCCAACCTTCGGAACGAAGATGGCACTTGAAGAAGAAGAAGATTGCTTGGAAGAAATTATAGTTAATGCTAAAAAATAAACGATTTTATAAATAAATAACATAGTTTGTTACTTCTGTTAGTATACACAGTGTGTTCCAACTAAAATACAAAATTCATTGCCTTAAATGTAACCCCCTAAACCCCCAATAGGACGGACACCCCACTTTATGATATATTATGCGTAAGACAATTTTCAAATCAACGCTTTCCAGCGCATTGGATTGGCAAAAGGGGTCCATAAGAGTGGCCAGCCAGATCACCGGATTTTTCGCCTTTGGATTTTTTTGTGGGGATATCTAAAATCAACTATATACGTCACTTCGCCTGCAGATCTTGCGAAGTTGTGACAAAGAATTATGACAGAATGTCAATTATTAGCACCGGAGGTATTTGCAAATGTACGAAGAGGCTTTGAAAATAGACTGTATAATTATATGGAGACCATATAAGAATGGTCACAGAAGACCATTTCGAACATTTAAGTGGTTAATTTGATAAATTTGTATGTTATTACTGATGTTCAACCAATAAATTAGTTAAATCCAAAATTACCTTCAAAGTTATTCCGTAAATTAACCTTTCAAATGATGCACCACTCAACCACAATTGCTATTTTAAAAAAGTAGGAAACTACGGTTTAAGGCGGCGCAGTAGGGGTTACATTTGAGGGCATGAATTTTGCTTGAAAATTCGTCCCCCTCCCAATACAAATTGACATGTTTTTTAAAAGAAACTCTTGGTTTCTGAGGGTCAGGGCGGTCAAATTTTAGTTGTAACACACTGTATAGAAATTCTCGGATTTACTAATTTTGGATTTAAATTAGGCAATTTTTTTTGCATTAGCACAAACAACGGCATAAAGAGTATAAAAAAAAAATTTGTATTTTGACGAATTCAATGATCATATAAGATGAAGTTAAAAATTGTATCTCGATTGTGTCGATGGCTTTAAAGTATAAAACTGTGTAAAAGAAAACAAAATGTTAAATTTAATTTCCGTTTTTACGTTTATTCTCTTTTCCCCTATATGAAGCCGCCATTGGAGCAAAACCTACATATTACATTGAAATTCTGAACATGCTTCGAACTCACACCGACAACAAGATTTTGAATTTGAAATTCAAATTCAAATATTCGAATTCAGGGGATTTCTGTTTTGATAACAATTTTTATACATTCTATGCTGCGATTTAACACCATTCTAGTTGCTGAAGAAAAGAACAATATTGAAGAGAGTTTAAAGTAGCCTCGAAACAAAATTTTCCCTCTTATGAAAACTTTTATTTTATAAAATAAATTTATATTTGTAAGATAATAAATGTTAAAAAAACTTACAGGGAAGTAAAGACTGGTGTTGTATAATGATATTTTATTAAAAAATATATCCAAAAAAATTTCATAGTAGTTGAAACTAGCTACTGCTGAAATAGGTGTAAAAACCTTTAAATTATATGACAATCGTGGTTAATAAATGGGCTGGTTAATGGTATACAGAATGATTCTGTCTCCTGTCATTGACCACAATTGTAGCATCCAAACAATTTTTTAAACTGTTTGTCTTTGTGTTAGGTTTTGTGTAGATGTATTTAAATGTGTATAATATTCAATAATGTGCTGAATGGTCAAAAACAAATTTTGACGAAATTCCCCTGAAGCGACAGCGAAAGTACTTGGGCAAGATTTAATACAAATCTGTGCTCGATATCTGCCTTTTATTTTTAAAACTTTTTTATTGGCATTTCTGTTGTCAAGCAGTCATCTATTTTGATCGACGCCATTTGAGCCGCAGTGTTATGGTCTATACCATGTTAATAAGGGTTTCTATGAGTTATGTATGTTTTAGTCGATCAAACGCTTTTCGCTGATCTCTGCTTTATTGTAGCAGTGTCTGAAGTCCAAATAATGCCTCCCTCGTACCAAACTCCTTACGAATTTCAAATTGATTGCCGTTCCAGTTTTTCTTGCATTCTTTGTATAAACGTATTCAAGGAAAAATAGAGGGTAGAAGAAGGGTAGGAAGAAGACAATAAGAAGAAGAAGAAGAAAAGATACAAATCGAATTCTGAATTATAAAGCTTGGCAAAAGAAAGAAATGAAGAAATTATAAAGAGGAAGCATTCAGAAACACTCTGGTACTTATGACAATATTGCAATACATACAGTCCAGTGGTGTGACAACAAAATTGTGTTTTTACTATCAGATTATTTTGGAACCCAACCAACAGCCAAAATGGAAAGATTCCACCGAAAGAACTAGAAAAGAAATTGATTTCCCAGACATTGTACAACAATATAACAGGCACATAGAGGGTCAGGATCTGCAAGATTCCTTATTGGGATTATATCCAATTAAAATCAAAAGCAAAAAATGGTACCACTGTATTTTATATCAGATGCTGGATGTAGCAATAGTCAATGCTTTGCTATTGGACAGGCGAATCAAAAAACAAATTAGCAAAACTGAAGAGAATATACCACTGCTGAATTTCAAAACAATTCTAGCTGAACAACTAACTGACAGTGGTGTTTTACAAAAAAGAAAAGTAAGTCTGCGTACACACGCAGTCTGCGTGTTTTCACACTGGCCAAACTGGACTGTCAAGAGGAAAAGATGTAAGATAATAAACTGGAAGGGAAAATCAAGGGTCCAGTTTAAGACTGTTTTAAGAAGTTTCACAATTTGCAATAGTTTGATACTGACAATATATCGATCTAATGTGTATGAAAATTGGTTATAATAAAAGTTTTTATACATAATGTTCCCAAATAGGCGCAATTTTCGCCCAATTATTAAAAAAAAATGTGTAACGGTGAATTCTTCTTCTTCTTAGAGTGCCGTCTCCCTACGGAGGTTGGCAATCATAATCGCTATTTTTATTATTGAACTTGCGGCTCTAAACAAATCAATCGATCTGCATTGGTACCAATCACGTAGATTCTTTAACCATGAGTTCTGCCTTCGGCCAACAGATCTTCTTCCTTGAATCTTTCCCTGTATTATCAGTCTCAAAATTTCATATTTTGGTCCCCTCATCACGTGGCCTAGGTATTCCAGTTTTCTCATTTGTATAGTGGTGATTAGTTCTGTTTCTTTACCAACCCTCTCCAGTACTTCTTTATTTGTAATTCTATCAGTCCATGATATTTTCAATACTCTGCGGTATAACCAGAGTTCGAAGGCCTCGATTCTTTTTAAATTACATTTTTTTAATGTACAAGTCTCAGCTCCATATAATAATATTCAAAATATATAACAGCGAATCGTACGCAGTCTGATCTCCAAATTTAGATTTTTGCACGTTAGGAGTGGCTTCATTCGTATAAATGCTGATCTGGCAATCTCTATTCGTCTGTTTATTTCTACAGTATGATGATTGGTTTCATTGATCAAAGTTCCCAAATACTGATATTTTTCTACTTGTTCTATCACGTTACCATTTATTGTCAATAGATGATGTATATTTGTGGCCTTTTTGTAATCAGCATGTACTTCGTTTTTTTAGCGTTTATAGTAATTCCCGTCTCAGCACTATTTATACTCAAGCTTTCGATAAGATGTTGTAGATCCTCTATACTCGTTGCTATGATCACAGTGTCGTCTGCATATCTTAAATTATTAATTAATTTTCCGTTAACGGTGACTCCCGCTTCGATATTATTGAGCGTGTTTTGGAAAATTTCTTCAGAATATAAGTTAAACAAAAGTGGTGATAACACACATCCCTGTCTAACTCCTCTACAGACCCTCATTTCTTCTGAGTGTTGCCCATCAATTTGAACTATGGCACTTTGGTTCCAATATAATGTTTGCACTATATTTATGATTTTACTGTCAATGCGCTTGTTCATAAGTATTGATATTAGTTTTTTATGTCTTACTTTAACGAAAGCTTTTTCGTAGTCAACGAAGCACAAGTGTAGATCAACATTCACATCCCTACATCGCTGAATTAATATGTTGATGGCAAATAGTCCTTCTCGAGTACCCATTCCATTTCGGAACCCGAACTGCGTCTCGCTAATATCCTCCTCTAGCCTTTCGTATATTCTCTTATGTATTATTTTTAGCAGAACTTTTAAAGTATGACTCATGAGGCTCAGTGTTCGATATGCTGACTTTAGCCACTACTGTGGTATTATTCCCGTATCGTACACCGTGTTGAATAAATCTGCCAATACTTCCAAGTTGACCTCTTCCACTAGTTTTAAGAGTTCTACTGGTATTTCATCTAATCCAGTTTCCTTATTGTCTTTAGAGTTTTTGATAGCATATTTGATTTCGTCTATCGTGATCTTCTGTATCTCTAAAGGATTTCATTCTTGTATTTTCTGCATTTCACCTCTTTCATCTTGGAAAAGTTCTCTAACGTACTCCTCCCATCGCCTTAGCTTCTCTGGTAAATCTACTAGTAGTACTCCTTTTTTGTCTTTTATGTGTCCTTGCTGTCTATTTCGACCCATTCCAGTCACTTCTCTAATTTTTTTGTGCATATTTCTCATATCATATTTTGTTTCTAGTTCTTCTATCTCTTTACATTGCTTCATCAAATAGATTTCCTTAGCTGTTTTGATTTTTTCCTTAATTATTCGTTGTATTTCTTTATACTTCTGTAGATCTTTTCCTTTATATTTCCTTCTTTCTTCCATCAGTAATAGTATTTCTTCTGTTATCCAGTGTTTTTTTCTACATACCACTACAGTGAATTCTACATACCACTATTAAGAGTAATTTAATATAATTTTATTTTATTCTGTCAAAAAAATTAAATAAAATAAATTCATGTAATAGAGGGTTAAAAGTTAAATTTATAAGTTGTTGAAAATTCACAACAATAATGCTAAAGAAAAGTATTGATGAAACATATATTTTAAAATATGTGTATTAAAACACTATTTATGTTAGTGGGTGGTAAAACTAACATTAGACAGAACGAGGGATAACGATGGGAATAACAAAGCCCTCTTCAGTTTCTCATCTAGAGTTCAATACTTGAATACTTATTCGTACCTATAAAAAAACAAAAACATTGCGACTATACGAGCATATCAGACTATTGCTTACAGTTGACAATTGAAGGGCTTTCGAAAAGGGCTCGTTTGCAGAACAAACACAAGGCCACGTGACAATGGCGAAGACACTTTTCAACTTTATTGTTAACGTCAGAGGCAGCTCATCACACACTCTACATGGAATAGGGTGGACAATAGGATTAATTTTAAATTACTCTCTTGAAATTTTTGCACATAAATATATCAATGTTTAAAGACCAATTACGACTTCAGTAATTCCCACTCCGAGTAAAAATATAAGCAATTCGGACATTTTTCATTACGAATGAATCGTCTTCTAAAACTATTAAGACCTGATAATTATTACAAAAAAACTAATAATGACCGAAATGACTCCAGATAACAGAAATCAATAAACTAACAAAATACCCGCTTCTTCAATTTATAATGCAGTGTCATGAATCTATTTGTTATATTATAGTGTCAATGGGAAGCGCAAATTTTGGAATAAATAAGAAATTGGTCGCCTATTGTTAAGTAGCTAGAGCTAGAACCCTAATAATATTTTATTTCAACTGTGGATAGTAACAAATTAGTGCATTCATATAATGACTGATGCAAAAAGCGTCTGATCTAGAATTGGCAGCTAAAGAAAAGGTCCTCCAAACGGGGGTTGTGGAGTTATTAATTATCAACCTAACACACAGAAAAACGTAAGGGTAAGAAGAACAAAAATCGCAAGATGAAAAAGCCAAATACGGAAACACATCCCCTGCTGAAAATCCACAACTCTGATAGAAAGAGCCACATCGGATACAGGGGGAGGGCAATGTTGCGAAGTGTTCGGAAGACCAAGTCTTATCAATGCTCAACCAAAAATCAAAACGAAGAAAAGATAGAACATTTATATGTGCATCGTGGAATATACAAGGATGGAACAAAAAGGCGACGGAAGTGATCAAGGAATTTAGAGAAAGCAAACTCGAGATACTAACAACAACCTATAAAACTGAAACACGAAAGCTGAAACCGATAGTAGACTACGTAATAATCAAACAAGATACCACAATAAAGATAAAAGATGTGCGTGTCTGAAGAGGAGCAGAATGTGGAACGGACCATAAACTACTGACAGCAAAAATGGGCATTAACTGGAAACATAACAAGACACCCTCTACAGAAGAACCTTTGAACACTATAAGAGAAAAACAATACAATATAGAACTACTCCAAGAACAATCAATAAGAAAACTATACAAACAACATCTAGGCCAAAAATTAATAGAATTAATAATAAGATAAATGAACCAACAAAAATAATAATTGAAGAAAAAAAGTAACTATATAGAAAATAGCTAACTGCAAACAACGATGAAGTTTATTGAGAATACAGAGAAAAATATAGAGAAGTAAAAAACCTGCTTAAATATTGAAAAACATATAGGAGCTACAAGAATGTCTGAGTCATGGAAAGTACTGAGAGGATTGAAACAAAACTCAAAAGAAAAAAATAATGAATTAAAAAATATACAGGACAAAGAATGGAAGGACTATTACAAGAAACTGTTAACAGAACAAAGATCACAATCCATTGAAAAGAAGCAGATTCTCATAACAAGAAATAGAAATAACAGATAGGAAATGAGAAAGGCCGTGAAAGCAATCAAAAATAAAAAAGCACCGGGACCTGGAGGCATCTGTACGGCTCAAAAAAAATGACACCGGATGATAAAAGGATATTTCAAAAAGCCATAAATGGAGAACAGATCTCAAAGGAATGGACGGAGGTATATATGACATCTTTATTTTAAGAAAGGTAGTAAAGAACGATGCGAAAACTATAGAGGAATAAGTGTAATATCATCAATAGGAAGATTATATGGGAAGATGCTGCGCGAAAAGGTAGAGCAAGCAATAAAAGGCAAAATCGGAGAGGATAAGGCAGATTTCACGGCAGGAATTCCAAAACATTATTTACTTCATAATTCCAGCCCCTAGAAGACTGTTTAAGCCCATAAATAGCCTTATTTAATTTTAAACATTTGTTACCTGCTAAATCAAAACCCTCTGGTGATTGCATGTATATTTTCTCTTTCAAATTACCATTTAGAAATGCTGTTTTAACATCTAACCTTAAAGGAGAATGTCTTATTACTGGAGCAAAAGTTTCTGTATGGCCTATATATTCTCTTTGATTAAAACCCCTAGCCACTAATTTTGCGTGATATGTAACTTTATTTTCGCTATTACACTTTAACTTAAAGACTACTTATTATCAATTACACTACCATTTTTCGGCACATCGACCACATCCCGTGCATTATTGTCACAGAAAGATTGGATTTCATTCATCATGGCTTCTCTCCACTTTGCTCCATCAGAACGTTGTAATGCCTCCGAGACTATCAACGGTACATCCTCTATGTCACTTGTCTCCGCACAATTATATGTAACATGTTCATTAAAGTCTTTTCTTTTTCTTACTCGTTCTGACTCGTTCTCACTTCAAAGTATTTATCACTTAAGTTGTCTTCTTCATAGTGGCTAGATTCTTCGTCACTAAAAATATTATTATTATCATTAGACTCATTTTCAACATTATCTTTGTTTTGTTCCCCCACTGAAACTAGATTTTCTTTTGACTCATGTTCATCTTTTAAAACAAAATTAATCACTTCAAACTTTTTTGTGTCATCCATAATTTGTACATCTCTGCTTACTATAACATCTTTGGTGGTTGGATTATACAGCCTGTATCCTCTTGTATTTACGGACCGACGCTGATAAAGTAGAATACAAGAGGACCCAAGCTAAAGTGCGAAAAATGATATGCCAAAAGAAGAATGAGGCTTGGGAGCAAAAGTGTAACATGATTAACACACATTTAGGAGGACGGAGAAGTACAGAAAATTGGAAAGTATTAAAATCGCTACGACAGAAAAAGAAAAGAGATATAATATTATCAATCTCACCGGATCAATGGGATGAATATTTTAAAAAACTCCTAAATGGGGACAGAGCGGAATTTTTAAATAACAGTGATACCAGCAACGTAAATATCTTAGCCTCACCATTACGAATAACAACAAAAGAAGTAGAAGAAGTATGTAAGTCTTTAAAAAATAACAAAGCACCAGGACCAGGGAACATACCAGCTGAACTAATAAAATATGGCACAACAAAATTATATGAAAACCTGGCTAAACTCTTTCAAAGATACATCAACGGAGCGGAAATCCCAGAAGAATGGAAGACATCGTGGATATCCACCATACATAAAAAAGGCAGACGGGATCAATGTGACAACTGCAGAGGCATCGCTGTAACGAACTCGATCAGCCGAATATACGGAAAGCTGATTAAAAATAAAATCGAAAACGAATATAAAGATAGAAGCTGAAGAACAGACAGGATTCCGGGCAGGGAGATCAACGGTAGACCATCTGTTTTGTATTACACAGATTATTGAGAAGAAACTGGCCGTCAACCAGGAGGTGCATCTGTTATATGTGGGCTTGAGAAAAGCGTATGATAGCATCCCACAAAACAAACTATGGGAAGCATTAGAGAAAACCAATATAAGCGCAAATTTAATAACAGCGACGAAACAATTGTATACCAAAACTGCAGCAAGGGTGAAAGTTGTAAGCGGGCTATCGAGAGGATTCCAAATTAGCAAAGGCCTAAAACAAGGGTGCTGCCTTTCACCGACATTATTTAAGATCTACCTCGAGCAAACTCTAAAACTTTGGAAACGCAAATGCAAAAACATGGGATTACCGATTAACAACAATACAATATACACTTTGTCATTTGCAGACGACCAACTTGTACTAGCGCAAGACTACGATGATATAGAATATATGACAAGGAAATTAATAGAGGAGTTCAAAAAAGGTGGTTTGGAAATAAACATAAAAAAGACCGAATATATGTGTATCGGTGGGACACAGCATGACCTTACACTGGGGAATGGCGAAATTATTAAACATTGCGACGCATATAAATACCTGGGTATGACCATCACACAAGAAGGAAACGTAGACCGAATGATAGAAGAAGGAAACAACCAGGGAAGAAAAGCAATTACCCTTCTCAATAGCATACTGTGGGACCAGGCAATATCAAACAACAGCAAACATAGAATATACAATACAATTGTTAAGAGTATAATCACTTACAGCAGTGAAGTATGGCAAATAAAAGAAAGATACAAGAGAAAACTTGAAGCAACAGAAATGGATTTCTGGAGGCGCTCAGCAGGAAAATCAAGATTAGAAAGGGTAACCAACAACAGAATTAGGGAAATAATGAATGTGAAACACACAATAGTAGATGACATTAGTACCAAACAGCTTAGATGGTATGGACACGTACAAAGAATGTCCGAAGAACGACTCCCGAAACAAATCCTAACGTGCACCCCTCATGATAGACGAAAAAGAGGAAGACCCCGCCTTAGTTAGAGAGAAGGCATAAATCGAAGTATGAGAGAAAGAGAATTAGATGAAGACCTTTGGATGGACCGAAGTGAATGGCGACTAAGCGTAAGGAAGACGTAGGAGAACGTTTTAAAACCGATATATATATATATCGGTATATATATATATATATATATATATATATATATATATATATATATATATATATATATATATCCTCTTGTATTTTCAGCATACTCTACTAAAATATGCAAAATAGTTTTTTTCTCCCACCTTGACCTTTTTTCTTTTGGAACAGGTACATCACATTGCTGCCAAATATTCGAAGGCCACTATCTGTCTATCTTTCAAACGATGTTTTGTTTAAATTAGAAGCCAAACATCTATTTTTTAAGTAAACAGATGTATTTACAGCTTCAGCCCAAAAAAATTTTTAAGATTGGCATCAAACAAAAGACACTTTGCCTTTTCTACAATTGTCCTATTCAAACGTTACGATACTCAATTTTTGTTCAGGAGTGTACGGATTGGATTTTTGATGTATAATACCGTTTAAACTTAAATATCTTTCAAATTCTTTTGAATAAAAATTCTCCACCATTGTCACTTCGCAAAGTTTTTTATATGAACACCCTTCTGATTTTCAGCCATACTTTTAAAATTCTTAAGACAATTAAATACTTCTCTTTTTGTTTTAATAAAATAAATGAAAACCATTTTACTAAAATCGTCTTGGAAAGTAAAATGTTTGGAGCCACCTAATGATCTGTTCTCCATAGGTCCACATACATCAGTGTGTAGGTATAATCTCCAATAAACTACTAGCTCTGTGACCTTGCTGTGGAAATGGCAATCGGGTCATTAATATATAAATATATCAGAATTTGAATTAAATATCTAAAATATTTAAAAACACGTAAACACGTAAAAAACACGTTATTCGTATTGTTACATTTAAATTTAATTAATTAAAGATTGTTAAAGTATGCCAATATTAAACACATCAATTTACTTTTGATATCTTAATTGAAACCATTTATAGACATTCATTAATATCAGCATATTTCATAAAACTAGATAACTTAACTTGCAGTATTGAGAAACAGAAGAAGCCCTGTCAGATGCTAACCTACATCTGTCAAATTTACCACTAAAATCTAATAGATAACACATAAAAAAACTCATTGTACCCAAGACTGAGATGTAGTGGATAAAAGTCCTTCCCCCCTTTTAAATTTAATGTTTGTTTCGTCCCTTCTATGTGTTTACTATTTTAGTGTGTTTTAAATTGTCCTTAATTGTTTTAATTCTAATATTTTATTTACTTGACTTTGCAATAATCTACTATTTTGCCAATAGAACTTTATCAAAGAAATTTGATAACTACAAGTTGAAAAATAATTGCACACCCACACAATTTGTACATCTAAACTTATTCATTGTTATAAAACTGTCACCTTCATAAAACAATTACTCAATAAATAACACACATTTCATAAATATTTCTCTCGAATAAGTATAAATAACTTTTAAATAATACAATGGTATATAACATCACTTTCATTAAACAAACAATCACACACATATCTCTGCTTCATTGGATCAAATCTATCTCCTCAAGAACTTCCCGTTTACTGTCAAACAACTACAATAGCAGAATTGAGTTCTCCATTCAACAATACATAGTAGTTTCAACCATGTTCTACCATCCATCAATTAATAGAGTACCGGCATGTAAGTAATGTTTATTTATTTGCTCATTTATTAATTTGTTAAAATCTAATAGACCATTTTATAACAATTTGTGGGCCTTACCTTGTCTATTTAAACTTTTAAAACTTTTTATACCCTTTTATTCAACTTACTCATTTTGAAATAAAACCACAGACATGTAATATTGGCATAATTATTGTAATTTACAACATCTACTTTGTTTATTTTATTAGACAACACCCTAATATGGGTTTTTATCATTTCAGCATTTATTTAACTTTGTATCGAGACCTGAAGATGCTTTGCATATTATAGAAAGCGAAACCTGTCGTCTGATAGTTAAATTAAATTGATTGTGAGTAAGTCTTATTTATTATTTCTTTACCTATTTGAAATGGACCCACACAAGCAACACATTAATGATCTCTTCATTTGATTGTTATATATTATATTTGTTCGTTCTAGTTATTAAACAAAGATCCGGTTGACTGGAACCGATCTTTTACTTTATTAAATCACGTTTTAATGAATCCATTTTAATAGAAATTATAATAACGCAATATAATGAGTTTATCTTTTTTGTTTCTTATTTCTCAACCACAGTTGGAGATATTTTTTAATTAGAAGCGCAACCCAGCATACGACGTGTGGTCTCCACTGGCTTAGTTTTTCGGTCTAATTGTTTTCACAATAGACGCGTTATTGGGATGATTAGCGAATTGTGGAGAGACCACCCTCCTCAAGTCCGTGTTGATCTCAAAAGAAAATAACGCGGTGACGCGTGTGTCACCGTCTGTGGCCCTTTTTCAACCGAATTCTAATGAATCGTTCATTATTCGGTCGGTGGATATGGTGATTACCACTGATATGACACCCCTTTCATATTTCCTATTCGTACAATTAAAAACGTAAGCGAGTTAGATATATGTGTTGTTAATAAAAAAGCAAAATCAGATCTGGATAATATTAAGTAATAAAAAAAGTTGAAAAACTAAAAGGGTATAAAATAGGAGGGGTGAAAAGTTTCACTTTAATTCTCGCGGAGTATACGGTAAGTAGTATATATCTATGAAATGTTTCGACACTATGGACTATTATGACTATTTTTACATCATGCAATTTTATTATTATTTCTGCATGTTGCACAAGCTTATTGTGTTAATCTTTTATGTCTGAAAGTATTTTACATGTGTTCTTTTGTAAATGTGCAAATGAACCAGATATTGGCCACATTGTTCCAGTTATTGACGCGATATGTATTAGTTATTGGCCATCATTATTTAAAGTGGCATTTTACTAGTTAACTCGTAATTTAAGATAGGTAGGTAGGTGGGTCACTGACTTGGACTTGGACTTGGAATCAGAAACGAGAGAGCCTAGAAAAATTCGCAGAAGACTCAGAACTAGTTGTCACCAACACATTCTTCCAATTACCACCTCGCAAGCTGTACACGTGGAAATCCTCTCAATACAGACCCGGGAGAATTATTATAATTTCATGCATTAGTAATTGGCCACTTTAAAATTTACGTTATTTGAATAAGTAGCGTTAGATTTGTTATTTCAGACAGGACATACACTATATTCTTACAATAACATAAAACCTATGGTAGAAAGAGAATCTGAGTATATAGTACTTAGCGGCTAACACAAGTTTCTCTAGATAAATAACAAAAATTCGCTTGCCAACTAACATCCCTAAATATTCTAAATATTTAAATAAAAACCCTCTATTTCCATATATGTTTTACCGACTTTGTGGAAAGTGGAACTTTTATCACCAAGTGACGTCATGCGCATCGACGTACAAAATTTGATTGCGAAGTGGGTTTATCTAGAAAGTCATAGTATCATGGTGGTTACCTTGAAGCTAGATTTGTCATAGTCTAGCTGACATAATGCTGACCTTAAAAAACGTAGTTAGATTTTAAAAAATACCAGCATTTTCCTAATTTTTATCAAAATGGTGCATTTACCATTCGTTAAGTTTTAAATATTTAGGTATACACCCTATAAATGGCAACACTGTGCGCCGTCAACATTAAACGAACCTGCTTCGTTGACTCATCGCCAATAATTTGTCATTATCACCAGTGGCCCACCCAGGGGGAGTTT